AGTGTTGGAATCACTGATCAAGATCTGGATTCGCGTTAATCAAACTGGGGTAAAAGAGCCAAGAGATTTGATGGAGACATTTTATTATTACAACTTGAAAGATAAACCGCAGTCATCTTTGCCCATCAGCCTAGCTTGCTTAATAAACAGTTGGTCTTATTACTCATTGGAATGGGGCCCAATTTCACGGCACTGCTTACCATTAAGCAACATTTTTTGCTAACTATGGCGCCAACATTTGCTTAAAAGTAAGCATAATTCATGGTGAACATTTCATACTCGCTGTGCTTAGCACAAAAATTGCATGGCCACACACAGAGATTTCCACTACTACGTCACTAAATTAAGCAAATGTTTCTTCTGTGGTTAGCGTACCTTATGCTGTGCTTTCTGCTTACGGTCTCCGTGAAATACAAGGAGCCTCTGTGAAATGGTGTGCTTAGCAAGGCAGTGAGATTGGACCCAGGTCTGACTAAGTATCACGATGTGTCCTGTTCCACTTACCTCAATGAAGCCCTCTCCATAGTCAGGGAAGAGATCCTTGACAGATGAAATAAGTGACAACATCTCAACCTCCGAGACTCCTCCACCGCAAGCTCCTGAAGATGATGGCGCCTGAGACAGAATATCCATCATAAGACAACGTGACTGTCTAGACCCAGGTTAATCCCTCTGGGATGTGAAGACTAAAAACCAGAGTAACAGCTTGAAACGAGCAACGACAGACATTATGAAATGACAAGGTGAACAGGGAGTGGTTTCTCCAATTTCTTCATATGATTGTCTTAGGCTTCATCAATAAGAGTGTATGATGAAGGTACAGTCACATTCCTGGAAAAAATGTCATGATCAAAAGTGAATGTGGGACTTGTGCCTAGTGGTTGGGGTTGTCCTCCGATTACAGGGAATGCTAGCAGATGGTTACATGTCTTGATCTTGGGTAAGTAAGTGAAAAAGTGCAGTTGAATCTTCAACAAATTTCTTATTCAAAGAAACAAATTTGTAGATGTAGAGCAAATGAATCACCCCTTGGTTTTTCTCTCCACCCATGGGTACCTGTGAGATTGAATATGGTCATTACATCAAACTGACTTCCCATTTCACAGTATCAGGTTAGTATCCTACCAGGCAGCTGATGGTCTTGGAAGCTCAATATTCAGACGCCGTAGGCCCAGTAAGTGGTGACAATTAGGATACATCAATGCCTTTGAATGACAGACACTATGACACCTTACCCACTCTGTATCTTGACTGGCCGACAGCCAGTCACATGACATTCACTCTGTTAGTAGCTATCTTCAATAAGGCCAAAAGAACTCTATCCTCTCTAACCAAGGTACTATACCGCTGGCGATGTGTGCAAGTGCATACAGGTGTCACGTGGTGTGTGTTCAATTATTTTATGAAGAGGTCGTCTGGAAAAGTGCTGGTGAATCTTCAACAAATTTCTTATTCAAAGTAACAAATTTTTAGGTGTAGAGCAAATGAATCAGTGAATGCTTAAATCATGCAGAATCTGTGAGAGAGGTGCTTAAAAACAAATATTGACTGCTTTGTCTCACGGTGTAGTGAAACTCTGACCTCCTAAGGGGATCCATGGAGAATTGTATTTTCCCGAAGTGAACTACACCACTTGAAGCAGTCAATACAACGTGTTCCCCTTACATATGCTATGATGTTATTGTGATATCATTACACCAACTTGTCCATTTTGATATTAACTCACCAGCTGCTCAATGTACTCATCTGTTTGGAAATCCTCAGGTGCCAATCCATACTGGCATGAAGCTATCCCATCAGGCCTCTGTGCTTCTACTGAGCTGCTGGCTGCAGTCCCATCATGCTTTGCTCTGTCCTTATGATGTGTGGTTGCTGCATTCCGGAAACCGTCGAAAATGAACTGTGCTCTGGTCTCGTCGCTGAGGGTATGGGGGTGTC